TATCTACCTATCATTTAGAAAAACAATAGTTGATCAAGTGAAATTAAATAGCAAAGATATACAAAAAATTTAAGTGGAAGGGACTTTTGGGACACCCGGTATTTACTTATGTTTATTGACTTTTTTTTAAAAGAAAGACAAAATAAATGTCACAATAAAAGTTTATATCTGAGAAAAACCCGATAAACATATCAGTTCATTGCAAACCGAACTCGGCAAAAAAAAATCATAAACAAAAAAAGCAACTTACCTTGTTGGCAAAGCACCTTATGTCGATATTGATAAGAGAATTGAATAGTTTTTTATGACTATATTCAGTGTTTTATCTAGCGGGGGGTTTTGGGACATTTTGCCCTCCCCCCCCCCCAGAAAAAATAAACAATTTTGAAAAAAATCAATCTAACGTTTAAAAATTTCTTATGAAAATTCTAAAGATATTGTCACTAAACATAAAGCTGTTGACAGGAAAGATTTATTATGGTTTTTGAATATAACATATCTATTGCTTCCCATTATTTTCAATCAAATTGAAAATGTTTCTTTTCACATCATTGCTCATAACAATATCATGAGAATATGCATTTTTTTTCTCTGCCCTTTCAATATTCATATGAAGATAACGTCGCATAGGATAGTTTCTATCGAATGAATAATACTGTACATGGAAATAAGCAAATGTATGAAATTTAATTACGAATTAAACAGCATAACATTGTGTATTATGCATATTAGATTAATCTAATAAGAGTGTGGGTGTGGGTTTGGGTGTAAATGAATACTACACTCACAGCCACAGCGACACCCACACCCACACCCACACCCACACCCACACCCCACATCCTGTGCTTAAGACAGATAGATCTATTTTGTAATTGATGATGGAAAAAGGGTAGATTGAAAAAGTTGCAATCATCACATACAGATATTTATTAATATTAATAGTTTCAAAAGTTCTTTATTGCTTGGATATATAGACAAATGAGAAGAAAACAAAAACTTTCTTGACTGTCGTTCTTTTTTGAAATTAAAATTCGTCGTTATTGGTTAGCACTGAAACGCATATCTGGCGTTCCATCTGCTTTAAGAGGTCCACCGCTACTTTCAGTATTATCCATTATCGCTGGAGGAAGAAAGTAAAGATGAAGTAGGCAGATTAATGAATGAGCTAACTTCTGCTTACCTGGAGAAGATTCAACAGTTTCACTTATCGAATAGTCGCTGCCGCCGCTAAGTACTTGATCACGGCTGATATCTCCTGATGCAACAGCATCTTGACTTGCATTATACCGCATGTCGGCAGTGCCATCGGATTTAGTTGGAATATCAGTTAATGTGGATCCTTCTACAAAATTAAGACAAGATTTATTGATACTTAGAATGACATATCAATTCACCTCCAAATCCTTCATTGTCACCAGTAGGTATTGTGCCACTCTCTTCTGTTAGCTTTTCGTCAGGTTCGATGATACCCGAAGCAACAGCATCTTTACTCACTGTATATCGCATATCGGCTGTTCCATTATTTTTTGTTGGAATGGTCGTATCAGTCTCGTTAATTTCTTCTTGTGCTATTTGATTTGTATTTAAATGGGGTTTACCTGAAGACGAAGCATTGACTTCTGAGAGTCAAACAAAACTGATTGTTTGGGATATATTTCATAAATTTTTAAGATTGACATACCTTCTTGATTTTCCTTGAAACGCATATCTGAAGAGCCATCCACATTTAAATGGTGACCTTCGTCATCGACCATGTCTGGTCGATTTTCCTTTTTACGCATGTCGCTGATTTCAATTGTCTGACCATTGTTACTATCAGATGAAGTATTTGTTGGCGTATCAACTTTATTTTCTTTACAGCGCATATCTAGCGATTCATCAACATTCAAACGATGACCAGTTTCGTCTACCAACTCTTCTCGATGTTCCTTGCTGCGCATATCTTCTGATCTATCTTCGTTTAAATGTTGAATTTGAGCTTGTTTGCTCTTATTGTGTACCATGCGCATGTCTGGTACTCCATCTTTGTTTCGATCTCGATTTGCTTCATATCGTTCATCGACGGTACCATCCTGTTTTCGAGGATAATTGAATTGATGATAAGTACTATTGCATGTGTACCTGTCATTCTCTCCATATGGATTTGGTCTTCGTTCTTTTGGATATTCAGTGCTAGTGACATGAGATTTATATGCTTCCCATCGTTTGTCGTCGGGAGCGAAATTCTTATCAATAATTCTGCCAATATGTTGTGACACATCTCGAATAACATTGGTTTGGTCTTTTTGCATTTGAACAATATCAACTTTGTTATCTTTTTCAATATCGGCACGTAATTTGTCACTTATAGTGGCGTTTTCTCCGAGTACAAGGATGCCTCGCGTTGCCTAAAAAGAGAAAAACAAGCAGTGAGCTTAAAACAACAAATAAACCAAAGAAGAAATTACTTTTGTTTCACCCATGTCGCGACGGATCTTATCATATTCTGTTCGTGGAACTTGTCCATGATAATCCTTTGCATCGACAACTGCTGTGTTCTTTCGCACACCATTATAACTCCACGCGATGATGAAATCAGGTCGAATAGTTGATCCATCTTGTGAAGGCCTGTGATTTTGTGTCGGATGGTAAACGCAAATGTTCTTGAAAGTTTCTGCTGCTACTCGGTTCGCTGCTTTATTAAGTATTTCGCCTGTTAATCTTTCATGTTCGGGCCATGAGTAAGAGTTTTTTGGTTCTGCTGATACATTTTGTTCGTTTAATGCCAAACTTGCAGCTTGTTCTGTTACATTGTTCACTAAATCATGCAACCCTTGACTGTCATCTTGCAGAAACTGAATTAGCCATGGGTCTGAAAGAATAGGTTCGTTGCTCCCATCTGTAAACATTCTTTAACTTAAATAAATTTGATTGAGAAATGATGAAGAATAAAGGAATGTGAGCAGAGTAAAATAGATCGTTATATTTATATAAGACTGTCTTACACCATCTGACGTCAATTTCTCTTCCACTGGGTTTTTTTCTTTCCTTGCTGAGTTCACGTTGTCGAGGCGGCAGAAAAAAATGGGGAGTCACGTGTTTTTAATTATGCGTTTGTATCCATTACATTGACGCACTCTGGTCGGAACTCAAACACAGCAATATAATAATTGAGTGGGAAAAATTAATTTTTATTTAGTCTTGAAGAAGATGATGCTTCATCAATGTATTGCCTGCGATGAAATCTCCAACAGGATTATTTTATCATTTTCTCTTTTGTTCCAAACGTCAGTCTTTTATTTGAAGTTTGTAAAAGAATAAACAAGACATGTGTGAAATTTTTTTCTTCCTTGTTTTTTACGTTCAAAAATCTTCGAAGATTCACTTACCATCATCTCTCCGGTACAAATTCAAAATAGCTATGAGTTATAAAAACAAAAGCATTGAAAATGAATCGATTGATCCTACATTGAAGATAAAATTGAGAATACATATAAACAGAACAATATCAGGAAAAAAGTCCTAGTTTGTCTTATTTTTAATTGTGATTGCCTTCTGACATGATCATTACTGATACTGTGCTTAAGTATTTTGTTTATTAATCAATATGTAAGAATGTTGAAAAATATTCTTGAAAATGTCCAGAATTGTCAATTTTGATTAAGAAATATAAGGTCTACTCATCAAGCAATATTGAAATTTTCAAGGAAACATAAAACTAGTCATACAATGAATTTAGCAATAGACTTAGAAGACAAAATATTTTGATGATTATTTTTTACTATTTGTCAAGTGAAAAGAGCAGATATATTTCACAACCCACTGGTAAAATATCTAAGCACAATCTATGTGATATACACCCGAAAAAGGAAAAACTGGAAATAGGTAAATTTATACATCATTTTTTTTTTTCAATTTTAATCAATATAATATGAAAATCACAATAAAATCGAGTCAATTATTGATCTTTACACGATGATATCCTAGGGTGTGGGTGTGGGTGTGGGTGTGGGTGTGGGTGTGGGTGTGGGTGTGGGTGTGGGTATGGGAGTGGATGTGGATGTGAGTGTGGGTGTGAGTTTGGGTGTTAGTGTGGGTGCCGGTATAGTTGTTGGTGTGGACATGACTGGGTTCGTTGTTCACTATTCTACATCTGCTCATGACAAGTGAGAAATAGAGGATGATAACTCAATTCCGGAATCACACGGAATTCCTGGAATTGGTGGGAACTCATGGGTAGTGATTCCGGGAATTCCGAAATTGTATTCCAGGTGATAAACGGAATTCCGAGAATTAGATGGAATTGATTTCTATCACGGAACTGGTTCTGCAATGTTCAACATTGCGGAATAGGATGTATTCTCCAATTTGTTGGTCGTGAATGTGCGTCTTCTTTTACCCTACATCCACGCCTATACCACACTCTTAGCGAACGTACGCTAAGATAAATCGTCTTTTATCCGTAGAAAAATAGAAATTCGCAATTTGATTATTCTATTAACCAGTAAAAAACCGTGTAAGAGACAGTGGTGATATTTCAAATATTATTATACTATTTTTAAAATTAATGCAAATCATGTCTTATTTAGTTGACGAGTCTGATTCAATCTTATTGGAATTATGTCTTTTGGCAAGACACCAAAAATCATTGGAAAATATGTAATTTCTTTGCAATATTCTTGTATGTCAATCCAGTTCGCAATTATCGCAACTGAAGTGTTTTGTTACTTAAACAATTTTAATTTTTTAAAACTGTTTTGTAGATGTTTCGAACAGGGTGGGGTGGGGGTGTGAGTATTCTCTTTTCAATCAAACTCACACTCGCACCCACTCCACACCCACACGCACACCCAAGATTTTTGATTATGACAATGAGTTTAGATTTCCTTGAATATTGTATTCTGATGCCGAAGAAAATTTTTCAAGCAGACAAGAAATTTCTCACAAACGTGTTTAGACACCCTAACTGTAGTTACTGTTTGAGCATTTTCATGTGCACTCGGAAAACACCAAAAACGATTACTTTCATCATGAAAGGTACGTGGAGACGCTTAAAAAGACAAATTTTGCATATAAAAATGACTTTTTTTTATGGATGGTGAAAGTTAAGCGTATTGTGGTATGTTACCAAATGGATTCTGAATAAGTATATATTGATTCAATAGTTTCACGTGGTTCTGATCGATAATATTTATTTTCTGCACACACATGAAAACGATATTTAGAACCATGAATTAATTTATTAACAACTGTTTTTCTTTCTTCAATACTCATTAGACAAATTTCATCCAATGATGCAGCTCATCGTTCTTCACACTTTTCAATACAATAACCGTTTAATAGATAATCATTATCATGATCAGATTGTTTCCATATTAATTCACTTTGACCAATATCCAATAATTTACAATTCATTTCTTTGATTTACTTGATCTATTGAGTATTTTGATAGTTTCATTGATTTGATCTTGTCCATAACCATTTATAAGTGTTATTTCAGATAGATCAAAATCATTTCGACATGCATAACATTCATTATGTAAAATATCAATAGTTAATGGTGTCAATTAGGTATGCACCAGTGCCAGTTAACTGGGTACCCAGTCCGACTGGTACCCAGTCCCCAGTTCTGCACTGGCACTGGTGCATACCTACTATGGTGCATATGCATGTATTTGGCTCTCTCGAATGTTGACAAGACAATTTCTGTGTTGCTCCACGAAGACGAACACATGTGATATTGATCGTCGTTGTCAATTGAGGGGGATCAAGAGCATGTGAAGATTTTTCAACAGGCAATAGATATTTTTCGATGATTGAAGCACGAATACCAACAAAAATATCGGGTAGAAGAAGTTGACCATGCCGGTAGAATGTAAGAATTGCAGCGAATATTTGTGGTTCTTCGTCAACCCAGAAGCAACCTTGATCATCTTTGGTCGATTTGAAGTCGTGATTGAAGACAAGTTGAGTGAGATATGAACCAGGATAGGGTTTGAGCATGACACCAAAAATTATTTGCACTGATCCATCACACAATTTGAAGCGAACATAAAGCTCCTCTGCCATAATTCGAATGGAAGATAGATGCTTAGAGTGTGAAACATGGCTTAAATATGAATCATGTTGTCATTCTTCACCGTCCGCACTGTAGTGCACAAAAGATGAAAGCAAACAAAGCCCGTCCACTAATAAAGGAATAATTGTCTTCGTTGACGACAATAGTCAAACATGAAAACATGACTGCTGATAGATAGCAGATGTTAACTATATACAATATTCAAGTCACATATTGAACACAAATAGAAAATCGAAAGAATGTATGTAGCTATGTACCCCAAATGTGACCACCTCCATTCTCACTCAGTCTCACAGATCGGTCAAACAATTTGTAGCATTTTCTCCTCTATTGTGGGCAGTGTAGTGTGCTAAAGATGAAAATGAATAAATCTGAGATACATTGACATGAGAAATCAAATTGGTCAATTTGAAACTTTTTTGTTGGTCGACTATGCACGAACATGAAACAAGCATTAATAGATCGATTCGTTGCTTCAACAAGGATCTTTCTGAATATTCAATGTCTGATCGAATATTGATAAAGGAGTGAATACTAGAAGATCGTTAGAAAACTGATCAATTTGATTACTCGCTCCGATCTATTGTTCTTTGATCATCATCTGAATATGAAATACTCAGAATTACTAGCATCAACAATAAACATTTCTCTTTATCAGTAATTATGATGATGTTCAATTTCTTCTTCAATAAAATAACTTTTCAATCATTTTCAACATTGTTCTATGTTGATCTGGTCGAAATTACCAAAATTTATTCAATTAAATCTTAACTATAGACTTTGAATTTTAAAATTAGTATTGAACGATCATAGAAAATAAATTGATTTTTTTCAAAATATTCTTTGTGTAATGAAAATCGTTTTTTCAGATCCGACTTCCAGTAAATAACAACAACAAAAACATATTCGTTCTTTTTCTTGCTTTTTCTGAAGAAATCAAACGAATATATCATGTTCGAAATAAAGTGTGTAGTCAAAAAAAGTCCTGAAACAGTTTTAAACGGTGCAACAGATGGACGATAAGAAAAGTAACAAACAAACCATTCAACGAAAGAAGCAAATAATGTAATACATACAATAATCAGTGAAACAGAAAGATATGCATCATTAAAGCTTTCTAGTTGTTTAATTTTGATTATTTGACTGTAGTCAGTAATTGATTAGGAGCAATTATCATCGTTATATTAAAAAGAATTGAGATAGATATGAAATCCACACTGATCATCAGATTTACATAGTCGATTAACTGGGAAATATGTGGTGTTTAAGGGTGTCAAATCGTACTATTAGGGTGTGGCTGTGGGCTT